GGGGGTGGGCAGGCCAGTGCTGTCACTGCTGCCTCCAGGGAGCAGGGCTGGGGTGGGGAGGGGGGCAGGGCCAGTGGTGCTGGCCTCTTCCCTGCTCTGTCCCCACAACCATCTCCTGTCCAGAATGCTCTTGGAGTACTGCACTCTTACCAGGAAGCACTTTTCTTTCTTCCACTAAATAAAATTAATCTAAGATATGGTAGATGTTACCTGAAAACTCCCATGAAATAAGTGCCAAAGGAGGGCTGTATTCATATCAAGAAACAAAGGGACTCTGAAGTGATAATCATCAACAAAAGCCTCAGCTCTGTTAAATGTTCCGTTACACTTACATTTCTTCCTACTGTGACTATAACCAAGTACTGTTGTTATCACAACACTATATTTTCTCACTTTTATTTCAATATATCAGTAATATTTAATATTCCTCATAGATTCATAGATTGTAGAGTCGGAAGGGACCACAATGGATCATCGTGTCCGACCCCCTGGCAGGAAAGAGGACCGAGGTCAGATGACCCCAGCCAGGTGACTATCTAGCCTCCTCTTGAAGACCTCCAAGCTAGGTGATAGCACCACCTCTCTTGGAAACCCATTCCAGATCCTGGCCACCCTTACTGTGAACAACTTCTTCCTAATATCTAACCTAAATCCCCTCTCAACTAGTTTACACCCATTATTCCTAGTCACTCCCTGGGGCGCCTTAGTAAACAGCGCTTCCCCTATTCCCTATTAACCTCTCCTAATAAATTTATAGGCGGCCACAAGATCTCCCCTCAGCCGTCTCTTGTGAAGGCTGAAGAGATTCAGCTCTCAACCTCCCCCCGTAGGGTCTATCACGAAGGCCACTAATCATGTGAGTGGCCCTCCTCTGGACCCTCTTGAGATTCCCCGTGTCCCTCTTGAAGTGCAGCACCTAAAACTGGACACAGTACTCCAACTGCAGCCTGACCAGTGCCGCATAGAGGGGAAGCATCACCTCCTTTGTTCTCTTAGCTAATGCACGACAAGGTGTGATTGGCCTTGTTGCTGGCCTCGTTACACTGCCGGCTCATGTTCATCTTGGAGTCAATTATGACTCCAAGATCCCTCTCTGCCTCCGAGCTGCTGAGAAGGACACTCCCTAACCTATAAGTGTGCTGGGGGTTCCTCCTTCCCAGGTGGTGTACCTTACATTTATCTTTATTAAACTGCATCCTATTTCTCTCTGCCCATTGATCCAACCTGGCCAGGTCAGCCTGAATCTGCTGAATCCTCATTTGTATACAAGACTGTAACTTTTAAAATTATTTCTAATTAAACCTATATCAAATTAAGTCTTTTCCTCAAGCATTCAATCAATTGTAAAATTTACAATTACTACCTTATCCTTTCACCTCTGAAAAAACTCGGAAAAGTACTATAGTGTAAGAATAAAATATCCCAAAGTACCAGTGTTTGTTTTTTGTTGAGATGCGTTAAAGATTACACAAGTTCCATATGCCACCACCCCCTACAAACACTGGCTGTAAAATTAATTAAATCTGAACGTGTCGATTTCTTCTCAAGTGGCTGTGAATCTGCAAATCCATGTCAAGCACCTGTGCTACTTTGACAATACCTTTGGCTAATGTCTCCCATTTCCCTCCCCACAAGCAGCACGGTTTTTAAAATATTTTATTCTCATTCTATACATGACCCTTTATACTTATTTCAACAGCATTAATAACATCTATTGGACTCTTCTGTGAATGTACTTTGAAATACAAGAACAAAAATAACAACAACATGTATTAAGGACAAAGCTGCCAGAAAAACACTAGCTGTCTTGAACTATCTATTATCCCTCTAAGTTTTAAATGACTAAGTGGCGTGCAAATACAAAAGCACTGCAATCTACAGAGGGAAGTCATAATGTGAAGCCACTTAAGTACCTTTCAGTGAACCATAATCAGACCTCTGTTAATCTACTGTGAAAATTGCCATATGTCCACCAGCCTTCACTCTCATGTGTTATCCAAGGTGAAATAGTTTAGTCATTACAAAATGCACTCCTGCTTCAGTTAAAGGCACGTGGGATGCTAACATGGGACTTCAGGACTTCCTGGTGATAGGATACTCCTGATCCTCAAAGGCTTTTATTCTCACCTCAGCTTTTAAACATTTATAAATGTGATTGTCCAAGGTGTGTCTACCTTTTCAACTGGGTATGTTTAAGACTCTCTTAAATAACAACACTCCATTCTTCTGAGGCACCAAAGAGGGCTTTAAGTGTCATGGTACAGTCATTGCTGGTACAGAGCACATAGAAGGGCATAGAGAATATTTTTTTCATCCATCTGCAGCAGCTAACAATAAGGGAGACTGGCCTATGTAATCACATACATCACTTCTTCACTCTTTCCAGAGTGGGGTTCTTGAACTGTTTCACTGCCTGACAGGAAGGATATCATTTAACACACAGCTGGTGAAACATGTGCCCCTGATTTGCATCAAGTAAACTGAAACTCTTCTTACCCTAGGTTTCAATTGAGTAAACTGAAACTCTTCTTACCTGGGACTGAAGCTGGAGGCAGGGAAAATTTTCCAGAGCCCAAGCAACCTGCTCCTCATTTTCAGCTAGTGTAATTGTACATGTGCTGTACACCAAAATACCCCCTGGCTTCAGCAGTTTCACTGCCTAGAGAGAGAGAGAAAGACTGTGCTTTGGCTTCTGTGTTATGATCATGTTAAATGAGGAATTTCTTTGAATACGTGTGAATACAGTAAATCTAGTTACAGGTAAATTATGAATTGCATAATTAACTGCAACTTGGATGTATGAAACTGCTGTAGTGCAATCGGTAAATAATAGAACACTTATGTAGGCAATGATGTTTCTATCAAGGACTTGGGCACTGTGCTAATCATACAACACATTACTCCCTTTTGAAAGACACAGTGAAAGATCTAATATTTCCAAGTTCACTCAAGGAAAAAGGCTCAGGATTTGTATTACACAAGACTAAAGATGAGAAAGGAGTTTCTTGTCCTACAAGCATATTACCTCATGCAGCCTCCTGGGCTGTGGGAGGCGACATGTACCCCCAACTGCTGTATAGCAGCCATCTAGCAGGTTCTGCATAACTCATCCAGACACAGGCTGGATCTGGTTTCATCAGCTGATGCCAATTATGGATGTTAAGTTATTTGATCAATGACTGATAGGAGATGTTTGTTCTTCCTACATACATATGGAGATAATTGCTGATGTCCTCTGTTGGAACTGGCAGAAATAAAAGTGAAATATAGTTTCTCTTTACTGTGCTTCAGTTTTACCGATACAAAGATCCAACAGAGATTTTGGGGGCTGGAAGCACCTTCTATTACTGGATTCCTGACATTGTCTCCTTCTAGAAAAGTAGAAATTTCATGAAAGAATGGACACAAAGGGACTATGGTTTATACAACTTTGAAAGGCCCTAGGCATTTAACTTCCTTCTCCCTCTTCGATTCAGTCAACTGAATCAAAATGACTGTTGCTGTTCTCTATCTGATCAACATAGTATACAATAGAGGGTACTAAAATAAGATGTCTTGAAAGTAAGACTCCAAACCACAACAACGCTTCTTAGTTTGAAGTCTTTATCAGTGTTTTGCACTTGCTTATCATAGGGTTAATATTTCTACTCCAAGTGTCACCTCTTTAAGAACAGGTGTTCTGGGATTTGTAGTTCCCTAATGACCATGCAGCATTACTTTAAGAAAAGGCCTGGTGGGAAAAGGGGTGGGTGATATTTAAGCAGCAGTTTTTCCAAATAAAGGGTGGCTATACATATGCTCTGATGCATTCTAAGTAGAACGCATTCTAATTAGTTTAATCGAATCTGATAGAGCATTCTAATTAGAACGCTCCAGCGTGCTGCTGTGTCAAGTATATTCAGCATTCCACACTTCAAAATGGAAGCATGGGTGTTTTAACTAAAATTCATCAAATGAGCTTTAGTTAAAGTGCCCCCACAGCCATTTTGAAATGTGGGATGCTAAATACACATGACACTAGGGCGTTTTAATTGAGTGACTGTCCAGGAATCACTCCTGCCCTTCGCCCCGGAGTAAGTGTATAGACATCTAAAGACACTAGAGGTAAGCTAGGTGTAACAGAAAGGTACTAGTTTGCTTGTAGTTAGAAGGGGATGTGTGGCCAAAAAAATCCTGCGAGTGAATCTGGAAGGAGGTTTACATAAAAGATGAAAGAATACTTTGGAGGATGAAGGTAACATGGTTGCACATGGTGTTGGGACCTCTTGTTTAGAGGCCTAGGCTTGGCTTACAGAGAAGGTAAAATTTCCCTGACCTTTCATTCTTTATATAAGGATAAATAAAGATCAGGACACATTCTGAAGAAAAAAAAAAGGCCTGCAGAAGGTAAGCACATATTGGTGGCACTTTTAACCACGGCAGAAAGAATGTAACCCCAGGAGGGCAAAGAAAGACTTAGAAAGGGTAAAGAATTGTCTTATGAGATAACTGCCCTGAATGAAGAGGGATTCTTGATTTGTCCTCCTTGCCATTTATAACACAAAACATCCAACTAGCCAGAGCCAGAGCCAAAGAAAGCAAAGTATGACTACTTGAACAAGGCACGCTAATCTTGCACCATCTCTGACTGCAAAACTACTTACATTCAACTTTTTTTAGTCGACAATTAATACATACCACAGTGAAAAGCTTCCGTTGTAAGGGCTGGTAAGAGGTCACTTCCTTTAGAGTCCAGGAATAAGCCATATTGGGTCTCTGTCCCATCCCACTACAGGGAGCATCAAGAAGAATTCGATCAAATGACTCTGCCAAGAATGGAGGTCCTGTGGCAAAAGGCAACTGGCATGTTTAAAAGCTACAGAAGAATATGTTTGTTATATTAAACAGCCTTTACTTATTTTCTTGAGACTACCATGGAACATGGGAAGCTGTCACTGCTTGCCTAACGCTAAATGCTTCCAGGTTTGTATACTGTATTCTATCACTACAAAAGTAACCTCATCTGCAGACAAGCAAAACAAGGCACAGCACTCTGGTAATGACTATGGATTTCATCCCAAAAAGAACAATGCATTTTATTTCAATGCTATCTTTACACGATGGTGAACCTGTCCAAGATTATGCTAGATTAACATATGTCAAACATAATTTAAAATTTTGAAAGCACCATGTAAAAAGTGCCAGAGACACAGGATTTTGGTTTCAGTGTATGGGATATATAACTGTACTGCATAGAGCTGCAATGAGCAACTATTGTTCATACCTGCGCCAAAATAAATATGTATATGGTAAATAAAAAAGCCTACAATTAAGTTTATCATGCATTTCAAGTACTTACTTAAATGGCTCAATACATGCTAATGCTTAGTCTTCATGTTGCATTTTCATATGTATATTTCAAAACATTTATAAAGGAAGGATGTCTTACAAGCTCTGGTATGTGACATGCTGGCTGCCCCACAGCAGGCTAACTGGTTTAAAAAAATGTAGTATAAATAGTGCTGAGAGTTACTTGCAAGCAGGAAAGGAATTTGAAACTCCCTATCCTGAATCAGTCTCTTCCCTGAATCCTGCTGGGCTACAGAAAGCCAAAACTGCTACAGCCCTTTGCTCAGAAGGCTCTTTAGCAGAGGACTCCAGAGGAAGCAAACTGCTGGTTCTTCACCATCTATCTTGGAGTAGAGAGTACAGAGGAAAGTTGTATTACACACCTCCTCAGTTCATCTTATATTGCAGATGGAAATGAGCTTCGGGCTTCACTTTAGTGCTATCCAGATTTACGTCACTACACCCAAACGATTCTAAACTACATGGCAGTAGTCGGCAACCTCCGGCATCCATGTCAGAGCATGGCATACAGGGCCATTTTGCTGGCACTTCACAGCCAGCACAGGCTCTGGGCAGTTGCTGCCAGCCACAGAGCCTGAGCTGCTCACAGCAGGTGGCCAGGAAGATGCAAGCCCTGCTACAATTTGCCCAGGCCAGCTGTGGCAGGCAGCTAGGAGGCTGCAAACAGCTGCATGGGGGTCTGGAACCCTGGCACCAGCTATGTGGCAGCAGTGGCTACATGCACACCTCAGGGAGCAAAGTGGGGGGGCTCCATGGCTTGTGGCAGGGGCTTGCCCAGAGCCCAGGCTGGCTGTTGCAGGGAAGCTGCAAGCTGCTGCACCAAGGTTTGTGGAGCCCCTGCCCAGATCCTTGCTAGCGGCAGCTGCACGCACATCTCTGGGCAGACAGCAGGGAGGGCCCAGGTCAGCGCAACCCCAAGGTGCACATGCAACTGCCACTGACCTCAGAGCTGGGGTGCAGTTGCTTGCAGTGCAGTTCCTTGCAGCCTGTGCAGTCGCTCCAATTGTAACGTAGTTGCTTGCAGCCTGCCCATGGCTTGCTGTGATCTGCCTAGCTTCCATGGCTAGTGGTGGCTGCACGCAAGCCTCGGGGCATGGCAGGGAATTGCTTGGCAGCTCCCCCACCATCTGCCCCTGGCACGCTCGTCGCCAAGTCAAGGTTGGGGTGTTTTGACACACTGGCCAAAACCCTTGCTGACCCCTGCTTTATGGCATGACCAATAGACTTTGCCTGAGAGAGGCTCTTAACTGGACTGCAGACCAGGCTGTACCTTTTGACTTACTTGCAGAGATATGTGGGATAGCCTGTTCAGTCTCTACCTGTTCTATATCAAATTTGTGCTCTTACTACATATTACTCACTTGCATAAGCATTAAATACCACCACATTTGACCTTAGAAGACAATCTAACTATAAGGCATAGGGGCATTGATATGCACTGCCTACACATGCAAGATGGGTAACTTATGCACTCAAATCCCTACTTTAGTTATCTACTGAGCTGTGCTAAAATAGCAAAGAAACTTGCTATTTCTTTCTGTAGCAAACTAGAAAGAATCAAAAGCAACAGATACCAATGAAATATTTTCATCATGGGAACAGAACCAGAGTCATAAATACAGCATATCAGAAAAGCAAATGAAATGAACCTAAAATAAAAATAATACTCTGGGCTTTCACAGCCCTTCCCATCCATGTGTCTGAAACAGCTGTACAAACAATAAATAAACTTCATAGTGCTCCTGGGAGTTAGGGATTAGTAACCCCATTCTACAGAGGGAGATTCTGAGGCACAGAGAAGCTTTTCTTCCAAACCTACTGATTTCTCATCACTGAAAACTGCGAAACCATTCAGAGCATGGGGTTAAACGCCATCATAAAGACTTATTATCCAACTCCCTCTGATATTATCTGTGGTAGGAATAAATACCTCAAGCACATTAGGTTGTGATTAGGACAGACAATTAAGACTTCTGCACTTGAGAAGCTGATAATTGCAGAATAGTAGAAACTAAAAGAATATCCAGTGTTAGAGCACTCTGGGTATCTGCCAAGATTTAAAGGACTTGGGGATATTGTGGTAGGTTTAAAAGCACTTGCACAAATCTGATTATCATTTTCTTCCAAAAGCTACTATCCAAAGCTTTTACAATCATTTACTTTACCTTGTGTGTCCTCTGTCTTTCTAACTGCAAATGCCTTAGTTCCATCACAGCAAAATGCCTTAATACAATTCAGCTGCAATAACGCAGCATTCTGTGTAATTTTTTTGACCTTGCTAGCAATCTTATCCATGGCTATGACTTCACCCTGAAAAAAAGGCAAAGATCACACAAAATGTTGTGTTTACACAGATAAGCAGCTGCTAAAAACAGGTACAATACCTCTCACCTTTTATTGAGATGGGTAAATTATGCAGGATGGGTAAATTAGGCACTCAAATCCTTACTTTAGCTAGTAACTGACCTGTATTGAAATAGCAACAAAAGATTTCTTTAGCAAACTAAAAAGAATCAAAGGCAATGGACACTATTGAATTATTTCCATCTTGGGAACAGAACAAGAGTCTTAACTACAGCATGTCTGAAGAGCAAATGAAATGGACCTACAATTAAAAATAATACTCCTGGCTTTCCCATTACAGTAGTGATCAGTTTATTCTTCTAACAAATACTGAAAATAATGGAAAAAATACTGTAAATGGAAAAAATCACAATTTCACCACTTTGATTTTATGCAAGGAGCAAATTGTATCTTTCTACCTTGCAAGCCTGCAGGACAAATTACAGGAAGAACTAGGATAATATAAATGTGATCTACAAACACAATGAAGAAAACCCACATTAATGACATGGGGTACATACTCTAGAAAAGTAATAGCACTGGCAAAAGTTAATGTCGGAAGTTTTGCTGAGAATGTCTTCTAGTGACTAGGAACTGAAGACCCAAGTTAATGGCTGCCCCTTGCTATGTAGAGGTGGTATTTTTGATCCCAGTGGAAAGTCAATGGGATAGAGAGGGGTTGTGGAAAGGGAGTTAGGGCAACACTGGAGCATTTGAAGAGCAGTAATTGTGTTAGACAAATGAAGAGTATAGCTCTAGAGCTAAGAGAGAAGGGCAAGATTTGTCATGCTATGGGCTAGCACATTATTGATAAAATCGGGTTCTTCCATGATTATGTCCTTCAAATTATGTATTCTGAACAGGTGAAATGTCTCATGAATAAAAACGTTCCAGTTTTAAAAAGTACTGCTTCTCATTAAAAAGGCTTGTCCTCTAAAGCTGTAACTAAGAGGATTTGTCTGTCTAAATATATCTGTATATCTACACAGGCAAACCACTTCTTTATTCTAGGTACAGCTTATATGAGTAGAAGAATGCTAAAAGAAAGGAAGTTATACCAACAAAAACACTATCTGCTGGCAGGACTGCATTAGGCTATTTGTCAGTATAAAGCTTACCTTTAAAAACCCCTTATGCCACTATTCTGGCAAAATTTTAGCTGTATGCTCTCAGAAATTATATAAGCCAGAGCCTGATCCCAAAGCTGGAAAGATGCAAAACTCAGTGGACTAATTGTGAATAAGACCTTAAATGTCACAGTGAAATATGCTATACCTGTAAATGACTATAACTGACATACTAAAAGTATTTTTAAAATGGAAATCATACTCTTTAGATCATTAGGTACACAATTGTAATTATGGGAATAAACTCTCAGGAACTACTAATATTTTAAGTTAAACTCTCCATAAATGCATTCAGCTTATCAGTAAACTGACTAACTTTTTGATTTTTTTTAATGAGGTAACTGTTTAAGGCAGGATTTATCTTCATCTATTTCTCAACCCCACGAACTAAAAGACTAAAGACTAAAAGACTTTGCTACTATTAACAATTGAAACAAAAAAAATTCTGATAAAAATGTTGTTTTAAAATGGTAGAGGGGAAATAATTTCCTAAACGCTTCTATTTTCTGACTACTTCTATTAGTGTTCAGAAAATGTTGAGTACTTGACTAAAAATGGGGAATTTCACATTTTTCAACTACCTTCATATTTTAAGTAAGTTATAGAATATATTTCGTATTATGTTATATAATAAAGTAATGTCACAGATATATATCATAAGACTACTTACACCTTTGGGAAAAATAAATTACCTACAAAATGGTATACAGAGAGTAGATAAGAAGTATATGGGAACAGGACTTAAGAATCAGAAAGCAAGGCAGACAAATCAGAGAAGCACATTTTATGGTTTTAATTTACATACATTTGCAAGGTATGTTGATATTAATCCTCATATTCTCTTGAAGCGTTACTTAGTGATTGGATGCTAGGATGGTACAGATTACAGCTACAGATAGGATAAATGTCTTTTCTGTATGGACAATTTAAATATTTGTGGAGTTTAAAGAAAGTGCTGAGGTACCAAACCATGAAAAGTGCATATACATGCTAAAACTATACGTGGAAGTAAACTGATGACAAAAGCATATTCCTGCAAAAAACTCTTCTTTACCAGATTGAAGCTGTTGTAAGCTTTATGGCTCTACCCACTGAATGCCTAATGCATGTTTGTAATTCTACCATATTGAAGGGCTGAACACTTCAAGTAAGCACTAGGATGATTATGTCAGAGCAGACTGTCACAAGCATTAGAGCCTTTCTAAGTATACACATGACTAGTCATTGCAAAGCCTTCCTGTTAACAAACAGACAACTGTTAAAGTGCATTATCTTACAATCTGTACCATCTAAATCACCTGACGTTTTGTCCATAACCTCATTTCACTTCATTTTAATGATAAGTTTTAAAATCTACTTTTCCTCTTTGTTATGAAAGAAAACCCTATCTCTCTGGTGGAAGATGACTTGGTATCTTCCCCTCTTAATTCATGTAGCTGAATAGACTCCAGCATGGTTTGTGCTGGAGTTTATTGCTCCCAAGTTCTGCTTTTGCATATGCACCTGGGACTGCATCCCCTTGAGCTGGGGATAAACATCCCTGCCCTGGGACTGCTCCAACCTGGCTCATCATGCTGCGAAGGGGCTGGCTGGGGCATGAGGGTGCTACAGTATGGAGCTAGCTGGCAGGTAGCCCCCACACTGAAGCACACTCATACCACAGCCAGCCCTATCAGCATCAACACATGCATTACAGTGGAGTGAATAACTCTGCCATAGGACAGTACTTGTGTCTAGCAGTACTATCCAACAGTGGAGTAAATTAGTTTACTCCACCCTAATAGCACTGCACACGTAGACACTGATGTTTTACTGTGGAGCTAATTAGTCAGCTCCACAGTAAACATCTCGTGTAGACACACCCAGTGACAGGGAAACAGAGTTGGATTTTTATGGACAGAGTGGCAAAACTCCAGATTAGCAAGCAGCCACAGGAGTGCAAAGACAAGAGACATAAGGCTGCAGGTGGATACTTGTGAGCAACAGGAACCCCACCAAAGCAGTTAAATAGAGCCTGCAGAGTAACCAGGTAGGTAGCAGGGGGTGACAGGAGTGGGAGCAAGCTTGTTAACTGATTGACAGGTGACTGGAACGGGTGGAGTCCAGCAGTAGATAAGCCCAGTTCTGGGACCAGAGCAGGCAGACGTGCCCTGGTACTGGACGGAGAGGAGCTCCAGCCAGTGAAACCCCTATGGAAGGGAAACCACAGACTTGGGAAGGTACCCAAAAGGCTGAACGGGACCCAGCAGGTTAGGATAGGTTTTTACAGCAGTAAGTGATCCAAGGTAGGGTTTGAGTTAGGAACTAGCTTGTTTGTGCTTTGGTTTGATCAGAGGCCTGGGAGTAGATGTTGGAGGCCACAGATGGTGCCCAGGTTAGCCGTACAAGGGTCAGGGACCTAGTGGGCTGAAGGAAGTATATGACCAGAGGGCCTTGTAAATGGAGTTAGGAGTACAGCACATAAGACGTGTGTGGCTACAGGGGAGGTTGGAGCCTAGATTAGTGCCCCTAAAGCACAATTAGGACCAGTAGGGCCACGATCAATGCTCAGGGGGTACCCTCAACAAAGCCCTAGCTGTATTATTGTATCTTCCTTTCTTCTATCCTCCTTTCCACTGTTTCTGATAGCATATGCTATGGTTCTTTCCACTGAAGCAATCTAAGAGTTTCCCAGTCTACTGGATCAGCTGTCGGAGGGAATTGTGGGAAAGCACTGAAAGACTATCAGCATTCCACTGATATTTGTTGCCATCCTTACTGCAGAGCAGGCAGTTGCCAGGCCACTAACTCATGCTTCCTACATATTCTCAGCTTCAAGACCCTAGTATGCTCCTCAACAATTTGCCTTACATATGTCAGTATTTCTATTCAACCAAGGTGAGAAAACTTTCTTTTTTTTCTTTTTTCTTTTTTTTATAGATTCATAGGCACTAGGGCTGGAAGGGACCACAGAAGATCATCAAGTCCAGCCCCCTGCCCCCAGGGCAGGAAGTCAGCAGGGATCATAGGATCCCAGCAACATAAGCATCCAAATGTCTCTTGAAGGCGTTCAAAGTAGGTGCTTGAACTACCTCTGGCAACAGTCTATTCCAAACTTTGGGGGCTCGGACAATAAAGAAGTTCTTCCTTATGTCCAGGCTGAAAAGGTCATGGAGGAGTTTGTGACCGTTCAGCCTTGTCCTCCCTTGGGATGCTCTGGTGAACAGATGTTCCCCCAGATCCTGGTGAACACCCCTTATCAACTTATAGGTGGCCACCAGATCACCCCTGAGCCTACGCTTTTCCAGGCTGAAGAGAGCCATGGCTCTCAGCCTCTCATCATAAGGTCTGTTTTCCTGACCTTTGATCATACGCATGGCTCTCCTCTGCACTCTCTCAAGCTTCTCCACATCCTTTTTGAATTGTGGAGCCCAAAACTGGATGCAGGACTCCAGCTGCAGCCTCACCAAGGCCGAGTACAAGGGGAGAATGATGTCCTGGGATTTGCTTGAGAAGCATCTAGGGATGCAAGCCAGCGTTTTGCTTGCTTTACTAGCTGCAGCATCACACTGAAGGCTCATGTTCATCTTGTGGTCAATCATGACCCCCAAGTCCCTTTCGCCCATAGTGCTAGCCAGCATAGCACTGCCGAGCCTATAAGCATGCTACAGGTTTGTCTTCCCAAGGTGGAGAACCTTGCATTTTTCGGTGTTAAACACTATCAGGTTCTCATCTTCACATTTCCTGAGCCTTTCAAGGTCAGCCTGGATCACCCTCCTGTCCTCAGGTGCGGACGCTTTTAGAGACTGCTGACTTATATGTCCAACAAAATCAGATCAATTTGCAGAAACTGATTTCTGTTTGTGATAGGTGACTATTTAAGACAGGAAGTCTGTAATTCTGATGTGCTTTAAAGTAAACCAGTAAAAAGCATCTTCAAATATTAATGATTTGCTATTCTGAGTTATCTGTGGATCTTGATAGATCAGTGAAGTGAGCCATGCTAATGAAATGCAGGTCAGGCTTTCCTCCTTGAGACAGAAGATGCTCAATGACTTCTCTTACCTGATCATGCATTAATGTTGCAAGATGGGTTGTTTTTCCCCCTGGTGCAGCGCACATGTCCAAAATTCTCTCTCCTGGTTGAGGGTTTAGAACGTGGCTCACAACTGCAGAGGGTAAGTTCTAGCACAAACCAATGATTTAGAATATGAGGGACAACAAACAATAAATACGTTCTGAAAATACTAAATAGTGAAGCCACTTATATTTTCAGTTATCTCCATAACAGAATGAAAAATGTTATTCATATCACATTAAGTATATAGTTATCTTTTGCTTTAAGTCTGTGGCAGCTTTTCCTCAGAACTTAAGCAACAACAATTGAGGCTGTCACATCTGTCACAGCAACTATCATGCACAAATCAAAGAGAAGGATGCTGTGGCAGACCTGAAGCCCTCTATAACTTACATATATCGAATGTTAACCAACTTATTAGAATGCTTTCTCTGTGAATAACACTGGCTTAATTTAATAGCAGGTTGTAAACTAGACAAACAAAAAATGATTACATGGGGCTAGAGATAAGCTCCCCATCAGCAATCGCTTGAAGGCTGTTATGGGACTAGCTGGAGTGTCCAGGCTTGCCTTGGTTACCATCACAAGATGATGATAAATACTCTTGTCTATTTCACCTGTAGGTCTGTCTGTTTTCAAAACCTTTTTCTCTAAATGCCTTATTATTACTGCTAATATCAACTATATTCTGGTTTTAAGAAGGCTAATGATCACTTTGTACATTGCTGATCACAGACTAATGAAATTATGAACCCAGCTGTTAGAGCCAGCAAGTCCAACTGGGATGATGTGATAGATGCACGTCTTTACCACGTCTGTGTAGGAGCAGGGGAACTACAGCATTTGACCTGAGACACAAAACACAAAGCCTGATATCTGATGCCCTGGTTCAGAGACCAGAAAGCAGAGAGAGAAAAATGTAGCTACTCTAAAAAAGTTAATTACTTACAGCATATTAATTAGATTATTTGATCGAATCTGAATATTAGTGACAAAAATCTTAAAACCTGATTTTAAGATGCTGACAAGCTGGTTTTTGTGCTTATAGAACAGATGTCCTTGGAAGTAATAATGTGCTGTCTTTAAACTATATGCAAATACTTTCACATATCTGTCTGAGTTGGAAAAGAGAATTTTTAAAAGTATCTTAATTGGAAGCTTCTTTTCTGTTTTATAAATGATATGCTAATTTTAGATCCTATTCAGCAGCAGTCAAAAAATGAAAAGATAGTTTCTATTACAGGTGCATCAGTATACCAGTTGCATATCAGATCAACACCGATAAAAAGAAAATTAAGATTACTGGCTATCAACTTTTTTTGGCCAGTGTAGCTGATAATGTCACAATATGCCTTCTGCCTGGGACCTTAAATGTTGCATGCATACACGCAGCTGCATGCAGGAATGAAGCTGGGCAGCATTGAAAGCAGCGCCATGAAGGTAAGCCTGTGCGGAGGAAGGGGCGTGAGGGAGGGAAGAAGGTCCCCCAGTGAAGGAGAAAGTAGGGCAAGGGCTGGGGGTGCTGCCCAGCCAGGGCAGTGAATGGGACCCGGGGCAGGGAGCAGGACAGAGCAACAGGTGGCTTGTCCAAGGGGCATGGGGAGAGTGGGAAGCGGGGTGACTCTTTGCTCCTGTGTGCACCCCCGGGAGGAGGCATGGCGGGGGCATGTGTCCCACCAGATTTGTGCGTGGGGCAGATGTGGGCTGCTCACTGTGGGCATGGGGCTCTCTGCTCTGCTGCCTTTCCCACAGGAGCCCCATGCTTACTACACATCCCCTGCCTGCCTGGCAATGGTTGGGGCAGCAAGTTGTGCTGGGCAGGCAGGGGATGTGGCTGCTGTGGGGCTCCTGAGGGAAAGGCAACAGAGTAGATAGTCCCAAGCTTACAGTGGGCAGCCCACATCCGCCTTTGCCCGGCTGAGCTCCGCTCTGGTTAAGTGTCCCTGCACTTAAAAACAGTAGTGGCGGTGCTTGAACTAAAGCTTATTTGATGAGCTTTAGTTCAAGTGCTGCCACCACCATTTTTAAGCAACAGGAAGCGGATCCCCTGAATGAGCTGCCTGTGGCTCTGTCCTGCTCCCTGCATGGGCCCCGGGTCCCATTTATCACCCTCGCCGGGCAGCACCCCCAGCCCCAGCCCCACTCCCTCCCTCACCGTGGGGGCCTCAATCTTCCCCCACCCCATGCCTCTTTCCACCCTTATGCCCCTTCCCCTCCACTGACTTACCTGCAGGGAGCTGCTCTCCATGTTGCCTGGTTGCATTCCTCTAAATCAGTTATCAGATCAGTATCAGCCAATATCACTGGTTATTAATTGGCTATTGGTATCAGTCAAGAAAATCCGTGAACCCCTAGTTTCTATCATTTTAAAATTCCATTTTATGTCAGCCATATGCCCTAAGTTTAAATATTTTAAATTTTGGTCACAAAAAATATAGGTGGTGATCAGCAAATGATACACATCCAGATTAAGATTCTTTTGAAATATAAATAATTTAAATTAAATTAGTGTAACTAAAATACTATACTGACACCTTTGTTAACAAAAATTATAACTAAGAGCATTGATAGATGTGTTAATCACACAAATTATAACCTATCACACATTCAGCCAATTTATGTGATAAAATGGCAAACCAGTCACAAAGATGTTCCTTATTAAATGTAGAACATCTTTGTGGCTGATTTGCATCATATTTTAATTTGAAAGTATGGCATTTTTGGCACTGGCTGTCTAGAGGATTTAGTTGCTGACAGGTGTGGAGCTGGGCATTGGGATCAGTCTCTGATGATGCACTTCCTACAGTGCCCTTTGAACTTACTGGTATGTGGGGAGCCCATAGGGCCTACACTGGGCTGCACTGTGAGACTTTAAGCACCATCATGCTGGAAGCTAATCTGCTGATGGGTCCCTGTTCACCAGTAACTTGAAAGCCACACAGAGCAGCCCAGCATCTCTGCAGGGCTACATTGCACAACTACACCACATGGCTTTCAGCTTGCTTGCATGCAGGGAGGTCATCAGTATGGAAGCATGATATCAGGATCTGTCCCAATGTCTCAGTCCCTATACCTGCAGTTGCATTATTTGGATCTAACAAATTTTATCCCAGATCCCAGAACTCATGTGTCCTGGCAGGATGCATGATTTTTGGAATCCAGGAAAAACGTGTCAGATTTCCTATCACACAACTAAAAAGTCTACCAGGGGCCCTAAGACATGACACTGCATTGCACTGCACTGCACTGCGTCATACTATAGACAAAGCTATCAGAGGAAGTTGTGAACTGTTTCCCCACGCTTCAAGAATTATACAAGCAAAACCAGAAAATTAATTTTTAGAAAGAATTTGTGTCTAAAAGGCAGCACAACTACAAACAATGGCTTATTTGAACTGACATTTAAATTAGAATTGTTACTCAGACATACTGGGAACTAATGTTATCTTTGTTTTCAAAAACTAAGACTTTGCACCTAATCTTGATTTGTGCTGTAAAATAAGAGAGAGCAAAATGGAGCAAATAGTAGCTACGGCTCCAGCCTGGCAGCAGTGGGGGCAGTAGCAGTGATGGTGGCAGCCCTGGCCCCTGACCTGAGTTGAGCCTGGATGTGGAGCCAGAGCTACAATAGCTCTCCTACTGTCACAGATTCCCTTACATGCTTTCCCCCACACCTCGCAGTCTCCCCATTCTCCCTCACCATATGTAATCTCCCAGACCGCATAGCCACCTCGGCCACAACCAGGCAGCAGCGGTGGTAGCATCTCTGGCCCTTGTACATCCCTGTACTTGAATCTACGTCAAGATTTTCCCTGTCTTCCCTCCCCCCACCCAATTAAACGAGGGGAAAATAAACTTGTTTTGGCTTTGAGTAAATATGGCAGATCTCTCCAGCCCCTAGCAGATGCTTATATAATCATGTGATGGGATCTGAAGCAGTTTATCCTGGATCCCATTCAAGGTCTGGCATGGCAGAACATGCAAATTGTTGGAATCAGGGATAAAAAATATTCAGGTCCCATCATGCATCTGCTTGGGGTATGCAGTTGTACATGCACTAAGGCATGGGGAGCTGTGATCCCCAGCTTGCCTGTAGCCTGTTATATGCATTGCAGAACATGAATTCCTGGAAACTGGAGAGATCGCCAATCCCCAGTTGCCTATGCTGTGTTTCTGTCAACACAGCACTGTGGAACATTTTGATGGCAAGTGTGGAACTTGCCATTTAATCATGCAATAAATGAAATGCCTGCCAGGACCCACTATGTCCACAGCTATTCCATTTCAGTACAGATGTGTTAGATGCCTTTATTCCAGGGGTTTTCAACCTTTTTTAGTCTAAAAAAGTACCCCAAGTGGCCAGATGCTGTGTGGTGGGAGGGGAGGGGAGGGGAGGGGAGGGAGGCAGTATGTGCAGCTGGAATCCGGGAGCGGGGGAGTAGCGCACAGCCAGACGCCAAGCAGGAGGGGAGGAGTAGCACATGGCTGGACATGGAGCAGGTAGGCAGGGACGGTGCATGGGTGGGCAGGGATGGAGCACTGCTGTCTCCCAGGAGCAGGGCCAGGGTGGGGCAGAGAAGCTCACTGGGCTGGTGTGTGCTGGTGGCAGCCGCCGTGTGCAAGCTTCCTTGCCTCACAGAGGGATGTCACAGCCCTTGCCCAGCCCTGGCCCTGCTCCTAGGATGTGGCCTTGCTCCCTCCCCGCCTGCCCACGCATATCCACTAGGACCAGTCCAAGTACCCCCAGGGGTATGCATACCCCTGGTTGACAACCCCTACTTTATTTTATCTATAACCACTTAAGTGGAGAAACTACTGATTTATGTGCTATGGCCCCTATTTGAAAATGAAAAATGTAGACTCCTAATAATTCATTTTTAGGATATTAATTCTTCTGAAAATTGTACTGACCTACTTAGTAATATACTTACCTGTAAAAACAAATAACTGGATAACACATTGTCAAATGAAGGACTAAGATAGACTGGGTCTGTCATTCTTACGCCCATCCCTCTGAAAAGCACAAAATACATATTAATCTGACTGATTCAACCAAATTATCTGTGCTGCCTATACTTTTAAAACTACCTTCTGCCATGGAAATAGTCTTTGTCTTCATAATAACTGACTTTCAACAGCATTGAGGGGCTCAAATAATACTGATTTGGCCATGATGTTCTTTTTTTCCCAACATTATTCCATGTAAATCATTAGGGTTACTTTTATGTAATGGTGAGTAGAATCATATAGGTAAAAGCATTTATAAATAACTCAATGTTTATAGTGTTATAACCCACCCTACATATTTTCTAAACTGTTGCCACCACATGGGGTGAACTGCAAAGAAAATATTGCTCAGTTTCCTACATGAAAATGTTTTCAAAAATAGTTTCCTCATGTATAAAACTTGCAAAAAACTGATGCACCTACTTCATAATTTGGAAAATCTGATCAATTCATTGAAAATGTGAGGTGCTGTATAAATATTAGGTTTTACAATTTCCTTTTAATAAGACACAGAAATCTATGAAACTGGAAAATAGAAGGAACAGAAATCCAGCTCCAGTTTATGTGCTACTGAGGGCCCCTCTAGACGTTCAGGTAAAAGGCATGATAGAATCGGATGCACGATAGTGGGATCCAGTCTCAGATCCAATTGCACCTTATTGCTGGTACAGGGGGAGCTCAGGATGATCAACCAGCAGGTAGGAAGTTTCTGCAGCTGCAAGTTTTGCAGCTGACAGGACTAGCAGCTGTGGCAGCACCCCACATGCTGCCACGGCTGAGGATCCTGCAGCTGTTGGGACTGTTAGTTGCAGCAGTGCTCCATACCTGCAGCAGCTGACAGTCCCATGACCTGCGGGACTCCCAGGCACAGCAGCACATGATGAAGCCCTGTGACTGGGAGCCCCCAGCCATAGGAGAATAGCAACCTTGCTACATGTGCATATTAAAACTGCATAAAAGCAGATATATTTTTATTACACGTTTTCCAGCTCTAACTTTATAGCTAGATGGATCTTTTTATGGCATGACAGTTACAGTCCAAATTAATTGTGCAATTAACCAGTTAACTGCATTACATGTAGCACATAAAGGGGGCCTGACAAAAGACTGGGTCCTAAAACTTAAAACCATCCATTTTCAATGTCTTCATAAGAGCATTTATTAGCATGGAAAAGCAAAAGGCTTACCTCTAACGTCAATCTGAGATATTTTTTTTTTTAATATACAGTTAATTCTATGTAATCTGCCTTAGATTTTAACAGGCTGAGATGAAACATTACAAAGTAAATGAAACAAAAAAAGAAATAGTTTGCATGAACTTCTTTACTATTCATTCCATCCAGGAAGAGCACACACCAAGTACAGATGATTCCTCAGCCTGAGAAAGAGTATTTATATCCAAAAGGTTGCAAAGAAGAATTTTTCCAACTATTTGAGTTGGTTTAATAAAAGATATCAGATTTACCTAAAGAGCAGTCTCCTACACAATAAGAAAAGTAAATATGGCAGACTCAACTTCTAGGGGTTTATATTCAACTACTTTCATGCCAGCACCTCAGGTAGATTTATGACATGTCTTCTGCTTCTATATTTAATAAAATGGTCTGCATAGGGTGCCTTTGTTTCACATAGAAAAATTATTATTTGTTTTATATGTCTCAGACATGCAAGAAGCAGCTCTTATTTTGACATGATACAGAACACACCATTTCACATGCTCTCTGTGCATGTTGGGAGAAGTAAAGCAAATTAATTTTCTCTGGCAGCAAATAATCTTAAATTGAATAACTTCTTTGGCAACCAGTTCTAAAACAGATTGTGGTAGAGACAAAACCTAAAATACAGCCTCTTAAACCAAAAAACTGTGTTGGGAGACTGGGTAAAGGGAGAAGGGTAAGGCTTAAACCTATCCAAACTGGATCAAATCATTAGGAACAGAAGAATAGTCACCAAGGAAGAGTCCTGCAAAGTGTGGAGGCTTATTAACTTAGCAACATCAAACAGAATGCATTCTTGTGAAGCTAAAGAAAAAATATCTGCTGAGTTAATCAGAATGAGTGCATCCACACATGCAGGCACATGCGCTTACAGCAGCTCAAATAAGAGCAGCACAAATTTGTGCCAGAGATTTGTGCCTCAGCACATGTGCTTGAACATGCACTTTGGTGTGGGGCAAGTTGTGCCACTTGGGGCAAACTGACCCTGCCTAGCTCCTCCTGGATCTGCAGCCAGTGGGTGCTGGATGCTGGCTGGCCCCAGTAGTATAAAAAGCTCAAGGGTACTTGCTTTCAGGAGCTTCTGAGGCCCAACCAGTTGACATATGGGGACACTACCTCCCTGTGCCAGCTACACTGCTGCAGCAGCCCTGACCTAAAGTGGACCCTGCACCTTCTACCCACTGCAGCGGTCTGGCAGTGAGGGCTCCTGCCTCACTATGACCTGCAGCCACCTGCAACAGCATCCACCCCATTCATGTCTGCATGCCTGCCAGACCTGGGTGGGGACTGCCTGGCCACCTGGGCTGTGGCATGGGCACTGCAGTAGAGCTTCCTGCACCTCTGCGCCCGTTGCCAGTGGGCTGTGGCTACACAGTTGGCCTTCGTGCAACACTGCTGCCATGTCTGTCCCCACCTTGCCATCTGGGTGGCTATCGCCTAAAAGATGTGCTGCGTGGTGGCCTGCTTTGAACTGTCAAAGTATGTCCTCCTGGCCCCAAATGGTCAGGAAGTCAGCCACCTCATTTACCCTACAGCTGGGTCCCCAGTGCCAGCCCTGAGCAGGTTCCTCTGCCTGGGTCCCGCCCCTTGCCTCACTAGCAGGAATCCTGGTGCTCCCTGTTTAAAAATTGCAAATTCTCTGATAAAAAATCCCAAATTCACTCTTTAAAATACCCAAAAATCCATGTTCTTCCACAATTATATACAGTGGTGCCAGGCGGCATATATATAGTGGCACCCAGGAAGTACCCATCCAGATCTGGCAGGCGTGCAGACATGAACAGGGTGGATGCTGGGGGTGGATATATATATGTAGTGACATTTCATTTTAATCATGGAGGAATATGGATTTTGGGGTATTTTAAAGTGTGAATTTGGGATTTTTTATCAGAGATTATGCAATTTTTAAGCAGGGAGCACCAGGATATATATCTAGAAAGAGATTGATTAATCAGTTGGGCAATGTTTTATTGATATATTTACAATTTTAAAACAATTTGGAAGCCTACCAATGCCTCTACCATCATAATAACATAAATTATAAATATTTATATGCTTTGGTGTTTGCTTTTGGGTTTTTTTATCACAGAAAAATCAGAGCCCCCCCTGACCCCTTTGTCGCAGGGCACTAAGGTGCCTGCTCCTTTACGAGCAGAAACTGCCTAGGGAGAAGGCCCTAAGAGCCAGAGAGAAATCCCACAGGTACAGGTTGCTATGGCAGCAGGCTAACAAGGGAATTAGTCTGCACCTGCACCTGATCAGCTGACTGGAAGAAGGCAGGGCCCTGGGTGCACATAAACCCCAGGGCTGAGACCAGCAGGGGTTAGTTCTCTAGCAGCAGCCAGGGGATGGAGCCTCCAGGGAAGAATTGCCCAGAGATGCTTTGGCTTCCTGATATGCTGCATATAGGGCTAATGGGGCTCCTGAAGCTCACCAGGTACCCTGGCCTACAAGGCACTTAGTGCGGGGGGGGGGGGGGGCTGGGTCTTTTTGGGGGGAGTCTGACTCTTTTAAAGGGACAGAGCGCACCCTGAACTGCTTGTGTTATGTTATAACCCAGAGGCTCATATTTTGGTTGCTGTTTATAAATCGGTAGATCGGACTGAGGCTATTAGGGAAGGAGGAGGCCTCATTGGAGGCCCACTACAGTGTGGAGACCCCAGTGCCAGGGGCACGGTGACAAAGGGGGTGGGCAGACCCCAGCACCAGTGTGGATGCGGAGATAGGGCTGCGGAGAGCCCTGCACCCAACCTGGCCCAGCCCACTAGCGCACAGCTTTGGACAGGACTGGGAAGGCTGTGAGCTAGTGCGGTGGGCTGAGCCAGGCCCCCAAGCCATGTCAGGTCCGTTCAGCACAGAGCCTGCGTCAGGCAGTGTCATGCCGCCGTGGGCTGTGTCTGCAGCTGGGCCATGGCCCTGACAGCCCAGCTGCCTGCTGCTGCCAGTGCCAAGAAGGCGGGGGGGGCAGGCATGTAGCAACCCCTGCTCAAACCCCCCCCCACAAACCCCACACTCACAAACCCCATACCCCCCATATCCCGCTGCCACTCCATACTCCCCACACCCATAACCCCTCCACCCCCACATCCCTGCTAACTTACCTGGGGCAGCGCTCAGGTCCAGGCCATGCCGCAGCCTTGCCCCACTCCTGTTTGCCCCGGCACATTAAGGGAGCATGCTGGGGCAGCAGACGCACCATAGAGACACTCTGGCCAGATACCAAAGTGTTTCTCTGGAGAAGCCAGCCTCCAGGTTGCCTCAGGGCATGTTCCTGGACTGTGCCCTGCCCCACTTTTTTTCTGCAAGTTTTTCTTTTGTTACTTGGATTTCCAGGTATCAAATGTAGAGGCCGCGCTGCAAATATGCAGCATAGGGAACATTTTTCCATTCCCAGTATGCCTCTTACAGTGTCTCAAACTGCTCTGAGATACTGAAGTAGGCACATTCACACCCGTCTGGCTTTGCCCAATTTGTCCTTGAGCACATGCCTCCGATGCAAGGTCTCAACTAAAGCCACAATGGGCGTGTCCAAATGAGCGGGCATGGGTGGTATGTGGTGCCACACATGCAGGCTTTCCCTGCACTGCAAATTTGCAGCACAGAGGGGAGGAGGGGATTTGACACTGGGGGATCCCAGTATAAAAAAAAAACACCCCTAAAAAAAAGTGGGTGGCACATGTGGCAGCAGTATGCACTGCCGGAAACTCGAGCGTGGCCAGCCAGGCTCCCTGCTGCCAGATTGCCATGGCTGGAGTCCCCAGGACCACAGGTAGGGCTGCTGGGGCCAGCCCAGGTGCTGGCCCCAGCCTCCCCTACCCAACCTGGGCCAACATGCCACATGCCAGAGTGTACGTGCACAGGTGTTCCCCAGGGACAAGCAGCAGTGGTACATATTGTGACACTGGTGTTTGTCCCTGGG